AGTTTAGAACAAAATATATTATATATATTTTTGAAAGACATTGTCAAGTTTGAACAAAATTAAATAAATCTAGTGAGTTTAAAGTGGTGCAAAAAGAAGTGTTTAAAAAGAATTTGCCAAATGAAGTTTATAAAAGCTAAAGCGACTAATAAAGGTTGTTTCTAACTAAAAGGTACCAAAACCCAAACATCTATATTATGTTACCTATTTGAGAATTCAAAAATAAAAACATATTCAAGTCACATAAGCAAGTATAAAATATAGAGCCGTCAAAAAGGGCTTAGCCCATAGGGCCAGCCCAGCCCAACCCGTTATTGGGGCAGGGTTGGGATATGATTTTTCAAGCCCGTTTAAAATCGAGGCTTATAAGCCCAACCCTTAGGCCCTTAGCCCTTGAGGCTTGATCGGGGCCAGGCGATTTAAGTGAAATCGAATTTCCAAAAGGACAGAGTCGCCACTTAATTTTTATTAAAAAATCAAGAAAAAATACAAGATTTTTCAAAAGATTTAAACAGATAAAATCAATTGAAAAAGGGTTCGAGTTCAAATGTACATTCCGAGAAGGTGTTTGGCCCTCGGAATGCCCGCTAACTTGCGGTTGACCGGCAATTTGACTAAAAATGACTTTCACTAATCTTTTAAAAAAAATGATTTGTTGACATAATAACTTATAATATTTGATCAATTTTGAGAAAAATAGTTAAAAAGAACAATTCTTAGTTTCTTAGGAAAATTGAATCTTTAACTGGAATACTCGAATTAATTTGTAAGCAATTAGCATTTGGCAAATCTAGATTAATTAGAATTTTTATTTTATTTTTGAATCCCTTAAAAATAATAATTTAGGCCCATTTGGTCAATCAAAGTATGGAAACTATTTTAAATTAACCGAAAATTAAGTAAAAGTTTTCAATAATAGTAGGAGAGTTGATAAAAAGGAAATTTTGTTGAAATATATCTAACATAAAGAATACGGTTCATCTTTTGGGGATTTTAATTAAGTTAATTAACAAATATAAAGTTAGAGTTAAACAACGAACAATAAATAATCATAATTAAATAATTAAAGAGTAAGGGAGAAATTGAATTTGGGCCTCTTTTTGGGCCAAATTCGCTGAAATTTTGGGGTTTAATCTTAAACCCGTTTTTGTATATATCCGGTGTATATCCGTGTATATCGGATGTATACAACCCATTTTTCTGAGATTCTAGGACCTGTATTTCAGCTTCCGACCCCATCCTTTATTTTTTGACCTGTGGCTGCTGCGTTTTAACCTGTATATCAGTATGTCCCGCTGTATATCTATGTATACAGGCTGTATCTCAGGTTGTTTCAGCTTTCCGGAACCATATTTCAGCCTCACTGTTCTATATTGGTTGCCAATATGATTCGAACAAATACCGAATCGCAAATGACTCGTGTTTGGGCCTATGGTGGCCCAACCGAAAATGCAAATGGAGAAAAAAAGGTCGAAACCAAAATGGATTCTCTCGGAATATCACATACGCAAAAGAAAAAAAAAATAGAATCAGTATATGATAATAATGGACATATTGATTCAACTTATTATTTTCAACACATGGAAATAAATAGAATAACAACCAATCAAGAGCTAATGAATTCTAGTTGAAAAGGCAAAAGAAGAGACAAGGCATTTTCTACATTTTAAAGCAAAACAGTGACTAAATTTTAGTCAAGACAAAGAAGATTTTCACCGTGAATCTAACGAATCCTAACTCATGATAACTAATACACAAATAATTACACCGAAACAAATAAACCTAGAGATGTACTGAGTATGAAATGGAAATTAAGACGAGCACATCGGGGAGTTGAAATTTGAACAGATGTGACATTGAGCTTAAACAGCCCACGAGAGGTTCAGATTTAAACAAAACAAAACAAAACACCTCATTTTTTAGTCAAAACCGTAAGAGATGTGGCAATACTGGAGAAATTATGATGCCAGAAGCTATTTTTTGAGGTAAACAATTAATGAAACATGCTTGGAACTATACTAGAACAAGAGAGGAGCAGTAGATTTCTAAGAGCCAGCATCATACACATAAAGCGATGTATTTATCATTTACGATTTACGAGTAACAACATTCATGATTTTGAGACATACTATGATCAGAAACATCGATTTAGACGAAAAGAAAATCCCCCATGATGAAACACATAGTTATCGTATCTAAAAGAAATCTAGGCAGGTTACCGAGCCAACATTTGATTTTACCATCAACGCTCTTAATAACACAAATAAAATTAACGAAGGAGCTGAGCATTAAACAGAAAAGCTAAGAGGAGTTTACCTCTTTCCGGGCAGCGAACGAGACGAGATGAGCCTAGAAGTGACGGCTTTCACCAAGAGAGACTCGAATACGAACGGTAGTCACGGAAATTGGGCAGAAGTCCTAGCAAATCTCTATTAAGGAGTGTATTGCTACTTATTCCTAAAGGTTATTCTCTACCAAGAAAACTTGACTTCTATTTCGTTTGAAAAAATAAGATCCAAAAAATCCCCCCAGATACTAAAACAGAGGGTAGTATTTATAGAGAGGTTTTAGGGTTCCAATCCTTTTAGGGGGGAAAACGGATAGAATTCGGATTCAAAGCAAGGGACCATTTGAATTTCAAAATCCGAAAACTTTCACCATTTCGGACAAACACCCTTTTCTTGAGGTTTTAACTCATTCCGAAAGGGGAAAGAGGGAAGGACGGGTGGGACAGAGGACGCAGCTGTTGGAATCATACTATCTGGAGAGAGAAGTTGGACTGCTGGATTTGTCGTCGTTCGCTGCTGTTCACGCGAGGAAGAAGAAGCGTGGGTACTGGGGTCGTTTGTATTGTACGTTGTTTGGAGTTGTTGAATGTATTATGTATAGTATTGTTGGTCTTGTGAACAAATGAAAGTGGGCCTGGGCTGATGAATTGGAATGGGAAATGGGCTGTGATGGTCTTGAAATTAATAGAAAACAAAATGGTTCAATAGGAGTAAGCCAAATCCTTTAGAATTTAATCATATAGATTACGATTGGTCAAAATTGACCTAGCAATATGACCAAGTTTGAATTAAATGGTAAATTCGGCTAAACTCTAAATAAGAAGAATCAATATAATTAACTAACGAGCTTCTTAATCATAACGAAATAACATAATTAATTTAATAAAATATGATTAACCTAAATACAAACTAATTAATTTCAAAATTACAATCATGGTTTAATCTAGACTAAATTAATAAGACAAAATCTTTTTGATATGATTTCGAATATTTATAAAAATATACTAATTACATATATAACTATATAAAATATATTTATTATTCAAAATGCTATAAAAGTCGACTGAAATTACTTAAAACAACCTTGAAACTATTTGAATTTTATAAGACTAATTATTCTAAATCGTTTGGAAATTAAGAAGCTCGAAAATCAATTATTATCGGGGAGGGCCAAAATTGGGTGTCAACACTATNATTATTATCGGGGAGGGCCAAAATTGGGTGTCAACACATATGACCGAGAATTTGCTCATGGAATCTTCAAATTATTTAAAATGAAATTTATATATTTGTAAACTACATAAAAAGTACTATAAGTCTCAATAATTGATGATTCAAAATATTTAAAAGATAAATGAAAAATTTACAGTCAAAAAGTTTAAGGAAAATGCAAGCCACCCTGATTAGAAAATGAATCTATTCATGTTGAATCTCAAAATCTGAAATGTGTCACATAAATTGAGTAGAGCCGTCAATATGGGCTAGGCCTGTTGGACCAGCCTGGCCTAACCCGGGATTTAATAGGGCCTTTTATCGGGGGAGTCAGGTAAGGTCGAGAGGGTTCATTCAAACCCTCTTTGACGGATAATTACACTATTTATATATATGGTTTAAATAGTTTCTGATTTGTGGGGCTTGAGAAATATAGGTAGGGCCGGCCCGTGGGCTAATACAAATTAATTAAAAAATATAATATAATATTAAAATTTAAAATTAAAGAGATCCAAACTCAAAATCTATTTAAAGTTTTTTAGAAAATCACTAAGTATAGTAGTTGCATCCACCATGAAAATGTCCAAACACTTGTTGCTACTCGAAA